ATAGCGACCAATCGGCGCATGTTTTGCACGTCGACCGGACAGAGAGAGCCTAACGAGAAGTAGATTAACGCTCCGGGCATTGCGGCCAACTCTGGCGGCACAGCGAATGTCATGTGCCATTCGGTGCGTTTAAAACTATCAAAACGGACATAATTACGACCCAACGGCCGGATGTCCTGATAGTCCAACTCCAAGGGATAGCCGTATATATGAAGATAATGCGATGGGTTATGAAACCAGTGTTCGGGCAGCGGTTCGCAGCCCCGGCCGACCACCCAATCGTTAAACGCCCGCCACTTCTCTCGCTTCACGTCTCTAACCAATTGGCGAAATTCGTGCCACAGTTTGGGGTCTCCTGTAGCGGACAGTCCTATGAATTGGGCGGTCATTAAAGTCCGGATAATTTTTAATCAAGAGGGGGGAAGGGGTTGCGAAACTAAGGGTGTGTGAAATTTAACAAAACGCTAACAAACCTGATTCCCCGGGCGGTGCCCTCTCATCGTCAAGCATCACGAGAGGGCCGGCGCTCCAACACCACACACACGGTATGCCCGACAACTCGACCGCCGGCACCGACACGTACTGATTCACAACTATAACATCGGGCCGAATGGCGGGCAACAGACGGGCCAACTGTGTGTCCAAATATTGGGCGTATTTTGTAAAAACCTCGGCGGTGTTTGCCTCGAGTCGGACCTTCTCTATGGCCGACGCGCCGCCAATTTTGCCCAATGACAACATATATAAGGCGCTGTTGACCGCATCGATCGCCCGAACGTCCGCGCCGTCGCTTTTGTCCAACTCTACCGTTTCGATGCCATAAGCGGCCAGTTTTGGCCTCCAACCGTCGTCCGCCGTAAACACCGCGCGGTGTCCGTCGGCTATCAATTGGGTCGCAATACCGATACAGGGATTGACGTGACCCTCGGTTAAGATGGGCACGAATAACACTTTAAATGTCGCTTTATTTGCCATAGTTTGCTAAATGTATAATTTATATAGATTATATCTATTTGTATTAATTTATTATTATATAATAATTTATTATATAATATATTATATTAATTTTAAATAAAGTGTGTTTATAATTATTTAGTGTCAAACAATACAGTTTGTCTCACATCCAGGAACTCTTATATGCAGACAATTGTGTTAACTCTTGTACGACCGTCTCGTCAGAGCAAACGCGTCCCACATATAAATTGTACACTCACTTGTAAACAAAAAATATTTTTACTAAATAAAAATAATTAATACTTAAATAAATATAACCTAATTAAATAAATAATGAATAAATTGCATAAAAAGATTGACGCAAACAAATGACAAAATAGTTTAATATAGACCATGTTTTCAGAATTTTCAGTAGCCTTTATTAAAATTTTAAGTTAAACAAATAATAAATGACGTTGTTCATTTTTTTAAATAAAAAATAATATGTTAATTGTTTGTCTTACATTGCATACTCTGCTTATTTGATATTTAATATTAATATTAGATTTAAATACTATATAATAAAAATATTTTATTTATAATTTAGCATATAATTATTGTATTATTAGGTCCGTCAAAAAAATCGTGCGCCTCGGAAATCGTTATATCTCCTAAACGGAATGAGCTAGATCAATTCTGTAAACTGTTAAACAAAGATCTACATGTCTAGTTTTTTGTATCAAAAAATTATTAAAA